AGCATCAGCTGCTTGTTGCTCAGCATCAGCCTTTCAGCAAACAGCAGGTGCAAGCGGGGCGACCCTGGGCTGCGCTACAGTAATCCTGCAGCCCCCCCCCGGGCCTCCCTCGCACAATATTGTCCCCTCGGCTCAAGAATGTTTTTGTCTCCCCTTCACAGTTGTGAATTCTTGTATAGATTGAAAAGAAATCTCTTTCTAATCTTCCTGCAGGGCCGTGGCTGGGAGGAGCGGGTGCCTCGCTGCGAGGGGAGCGTGGCCGGCCCAGCTGTGCGGGAGGAGCGGGCAGCTGCCGGGCCGGACGCAGGGACACAGCGATCGGCCAGGGAGCAGCGATCGCGTCCTCTATGCCTGCAGCAGTGACAGCGGATACGTGTGGCTCCGTGGGCTCTAACTCCACCCTGGGAAAGAAACCGACTCATCGCCCACATGCRGGAACACGGAGGTGACACAGCAGCAGGTCCCTGCTCCGGCAGCGGTGTGGAACTGCAGCGAGCGCTGCCTGGAGCTCCGGGGAGGYTGAGGCAAGCGGGAATCTAAACACACAGAAATTTTGAATAACACATCGCACTGGGCTGCAGGAGGGAGGCAGGAGCGGGAGGGAGGCTCGTGRGCAGGGACGGAGCATCACCGCAGGGCTTGGCTTCAGCACATCTCTGYGTAGCGAAATCAGGACGCGATGACACTTTCGTTATGTGTCACCCTGTACTGAWATTGCTCAAAGCCCAGCATGGGAGGGAAGCATCATCCTTCCCACGGGTTACTAAAGCCTCCCTTCCYCGCATGGACCAGCTCCACAGGCAAGAAACCACATCCTCTGTCCCACATACACACGAGCACACACTGCCCTGMAAGCGGGGTGGGGGTTCCTGCCCTCCCCTGGGACAGGCAGTGGGACAGAGCAGGGGACAGGGGCTCTACAGCGAGCTCTTGAGTCATCCCACAGCAATGCAGTAGGCTGGGAATCCCATCTGGCAGTCCCAGCAGGATCCACGACATCTTTTCTGGGAGTCAAACCACTGCACCCAGGTCCCTGAGGAGGGTCGGGGAGAGCCATTGCCTTGCCTGAGGCCCTGTACAAACACAAGTTCCTCTCCCACATCCTGCACCTCTCGGTGTGGTTTGACATCGCTTGACAAGGCAAGATTTGCTTTAACCACAGCCCAGCCCCACGATGGGGCTGTGGCTCCCTGGCCCAGCTGCCCGCGAAGACCATCCACAGCAGTTTTACCTCACAGACAGATTTTGACACCGTGTCCCTGGTGTGTTCATACAGCAAAGAGCTCCCTCACACTGCGGGCAGCCCCRCAAGCACAGCCTCTCTTTAAACTCAAGCTGTGTCCAAAACTGGAAGGAGCTGTGGTCCCTTCTGCCCTGAGAGGCACGAGGCAGAACACCGGGGATCCCAGCCCATCTTCCCCACCATATCTTCCATTTCCCTTGAGTTTGTCGATCAAACACTGGCAGTGCCCCAGCTCAGTGCAAGGCCAGCTTTTCTACCACAAGCTGATCATCGAGTCCARCCTGTGCCCGATGCCCACCTTGTCACGCAGCCCAGAGCACTGAGTGCCATGTCCAGCTGTTTCTTGGACACCTCCAGGGATGGGGACTCCACCACCTCCCTGGGAAGCTCCTTCCAATGCCTGATGGCCTTTCTGTAAAGGAATTCTTTATAGCCAACCTGAACCTCCCCAGTGCAGCTTAGAGTACACCCTCTCTCCCTGTCACTAACTGAACCTCATTCCAAATCCCAGACTACTGAAATAAATTCTCTATTACCTTGTMCTGGGTTTGGATGGCCAGGTGTTGGTAGCCAGGGGACTACAGAGGTGGCTTTTGTGAGAAGCTGCCAGGAGYTTCCCCCACATCCAGCAGAGCCCATTCCAGGCAGCTCCAAGGCTGAGTCAATCAGGAATGGTGATAACCATCCTTTTAATAATGGTGATAATCTGGGATAACACATTTAAGAAGAAAAATACAGTTCATATGCAGATTATTATTGGGTCCAGAGGAGTGGCGTGTGAATATGTGAGAGGAGCAGCCCTGCAGACATCCACGTCAGTGCAGAAGGAGGGGCAGGAGCTGCTCCAGGTGTGAGCTGAGATTCTCCTAGCCCATGGAGCAGGTTGTCCCCTGCGGCCCAGGAAGGGTCATGGGTGTGCAGAGATCCACTTGCAGCCCATGGAGGAGCCCACACTGGAGCAGGGGGATGCCTGAGAGGAGGCTGTGAACCCATAGAGGCCTGTGCCTGTGCAGGGATCTGCAGACCCATGCAGAGAGGAGCCCACACTGGAGCAGGTTTCCCAGCAGGAAACCCATGGGGAATCCACCCTGGGGCAGGCTGTGTCTGAAGGACTCTGTGATTCACAATGAARCGGTTCATGGAGAACTGCTGCCCACGGGGTGGACTCACTGGAGAAGTTCATGGAGACCTGTMTCCTGTGGGAGGGATCCCACACTGGAGCATGGGAAGGATTTCAGCTCCTCTCTCTGACAGAAACAACTTGTGATGAATTGACTGTAACCACCGTTCCCATCTCCCTGCGCTGCWGTGGGCAGAGGAGATAGAGCTGGAAGGAGGGAATGGTGGGGAGAAGGTGTTTTWAAGGTTTGCAYCCAGCCAGGGCAACCCAGTGCATATCTTCATGAATAATTCCCTGTACTCTCCATGACTTCTCTGCTCAGTGGCCAGCCAGCTGCAAACACGGCAAGGATCTTGAAAAACGGGGAAGATGCAGCACATCAGCCCTGCCACCAGCCAAAGGCTGTCAGGCCAGGACAATTTCCATCACATATCCACAGCAGACACGGTTCAGACCATATCCAGAGGCACGGCCCCCCGTGTTTTCCTTGTTAGCTCTGCTGCTCTCCAGAGGAGGCCTGAGGCACAGCCTGCATCAATCTCCAAATGCATTTCTTTTAAATGAGAAGTACAGGGAAAAGCTGCAGATGGGAAGAAGGAGAGATAGGCAGGGAAAGCAACACCKTGGCTGCTGCCAGCCTGGATGAGCTTTGGTGGGTACCAGAGGCTGCATCTCCCCTCTGCTGGGACATCCCAGGAGCACAGGCCACAGGAAAAGCTTATTTTATTAGTACAGTATAAAGATTAACCCACTTCCACCCACAAAAGCTCTCCCATCCCTTTCCCAAGGCAGCTGCTGTGGAAGCAGTGAGACTTGAATAACACAGACCTGCTGAGGATTTATGAATCTCTCCCTGTTCCTGTCCCGAGATTTGATAGATATTGATTCATTTTACTTTCAACTCCAAGGTTCTGATAAGCCTGGAAAATGAAGGCATTATTTATTATGTGTATTAAAACTAGGCCTCTCCAGTGCTGAAGGACAGGTTTAAAAATTTCTGCGTTCCTTCCAYCTTAGAAAACCTATTTTTAACAATCTGAATTCTCACACCATCCTGTCATGGCTCCGACACTCCCTAGAAAATGTCTCTGGCAGGGATGGATCTTAACAGTGATCCAGGAATCATTTTGTAGTAAAACATAAATGTATGGTCACATAACTAAATTCTTACATACATGTACAGCAATGCACTGAGTGTTTCCCATATGAAGTGGACCTCAAGGTTCACTTCCACAGCATTTTCAGATGCAGCTCAACCAGATATTCCCAGCAGGGAATCCCTGTCCACCCTCTATCCAGAGATTTAGGCTGAAAATTAAACCCTGGGACACTTCCTGAGTGACAGCCACCCACTGAGGTTGAATAAATATGAAGTTTTGGAGGAAGGTGCTACCACCAGGACTTTAGAAGGTCTTTCTGGCTCTTTGTGTGACTTTTACAAACTTCTGGCGACCTACCTGGCAGTTCCGGAAAACTGTCATCAATTYCTGGCATTTTTAAATTCTGTGTTAGTCTACTGTCACCTGGTATACACAGGTGTCAACTGCAACCAAAAAAATACACACTTGAAGGAGAGTTTTGTTAAAACTGCTGGGAGCTGCCTACATGGCAACTGTTTAATTAACTGTTCAATCACATTTCCAGCAGCTCTTTTGTTTCCATTTGTGATTAATGCTTAAAGGCTGGCAGGATGCTCCGCAATTTCCTCAAAAAAGCTGAATAAGCCCCAATTTGCTGGATACAAGATGCACTGGGATCACCCACAAACACATYGCTCAGCTGCCCAGAGGTGGAGTGTGAGGACAGGCTTGGCCAAAACAACAATGTTCAGAGGGAACCAAACCCCAAAGAAGTCGGCTTGTTCTGCCTGCTTCATCCATGGATGTCACAACACAGCTGTGATGTGTTAACTGTCCCCAAAACGATGGATGGTGACAGCTCTGAGRGAATGACCTGGCAGGAGCAGTCAGTCAGCACAGCAAGGACTCAGGTCTGCACCCAAATACCTCAAGAAGTAGCTGGAACAGWAAAGGAATTCTGCAAATAGGAAAGGAATTCTGCAAAGAAACACACAAGGGGTTCAAGCAGATTTTTGGAATCATCACTTCAAACACTGCTTGYGTAGGATGATTTTGAGCTTTCATGATAGTGACCCCACGATGTGGTTGTGTTAAGTTCCTAAAATGGAAGGTATTAATCCCATTGGAAGGTCACAGTAGGAAGTTTCACCTTCCAATGGCAATATACAAAATTCTAACTGTTTAATGGCACTCAGGGCTTTTTGGAAAGAACAAAGTTGTTCCCTCATTGTTCATTTTGGTGGTTTTGGGTAGACTTTCAGTGGGGGGATGAACCTCCAGCCTGCCTGGTAGGGGGATGAACTCTGTTCTGCAATGCTGAAAATCAACAGCTCACAAACAGCATTAATCAGGATGATCACAAAAGAGAAAAACCATTTCTCCTTCCATGTACCCTCCGATTCATTTTGTTCAAGCCCAATCCAGCAGCATCTGTTCCCAGAGCAGGTGGAGGGTAGTCCACAAGAGATGATGCTGGAATGGCAGGCAGGAAGAAGCCGAGTTGTGCGCTCCAGTCTCAGGGTCAAGGCCTCGTGGTGGTGACGGTGCTGCTGCTCGTGGTGGCGACGGTGCTGCTGCTCGTGGTGGCGTTACTTGAAGGTGGCATTGAAGGCCCTGCCGATGACGAGCCTGCGCACCTCGCTGGTGCCCGCCCCGATCTCGTAGAGCTTGGCATCGCGCAGGAAGCGCCCCATGGGGTAGTCGTTGATGTAACCGTTCCCACCTGCGACCCAAAACATGCCAGAAGTCCCCATCATCCCCAGTTTCAGGGCTGAGGGGGGGACAGCAGAGAGAAATGCTCTTGCGCCGTGCTTGGCTCTGTGCAGCCATCAGAGACTCACCCAGGCACTGGATCCCGTCCAGGGCCACCTGYGTCGCACACTCTGCCGAGTACAGGATCACCCCAGCACAGTCCTATGGGACAGTCACAGTGGGACACTCAGGAAAKGTGTCACATCTCCAATCCCTGTGCTGCCCTCACCCTGTCATCACTCTACAGACACCTGCTAAGAACCCTGAACTATTGATCCCAAAGCACAGGGACAGGGAGCTCCAGCAGTGCCCCTGTCACTACAGAAYACTCACGGCAGCTCTGTAAAGGCCACATGAACACATTAGAAGGAAAAATGGTAAAAAAAGAGTGCACCAGAGAAGTCAGTCTCTCAGAAATGTTCATCAATCCCCCAGGAGACCAATGGGATTTGATATGGGATGCAGAGCTCTGTGTTCCTGCTGTTAAATACTCAACATCCTCCAGTAACAGAGGTATGGTGACAGGTGGAGGTGACAACACCTCTAACAAACTGCTACAGCCTTTACAATAGCCAGGACATCTGTCTGGGCTTCCAAAKAACACCTACTGATCTAAATCTCTTGCCTTGTAGAAGGCGGCTTGCTTTAAACTTGTAAGGGAAAAAAAGGTGTTTTGGGTGGGAAAAAAAGGCTCTTTCCTTTCGAGAATCCTGTAGAGAGGCTCTGAGGCTGGAGGAATTGCCCCAGGACACAGAGCCCAGGTAGGAGCTGAGCTCACCTTGGCRTTGAAGTGGCCCTGGTCACAGGCTTTGGCGACGTTGTAGACATACTGCCGGCACGCCATGAGCCGTGTGTACATATCTGCCATCTTGCCCTGCATGAGCTGCCCAGAGACAAGGGACATTAATTAACAAAGGTGAGGGGGATCGCCCGATCCCCAAAATASCTGAGAGAAACTCGACACAGGAGGAGACATGGACCCAGCAGACAGGAGGGAGCTGGAGGTTGTTAATTCACAAAGCCCCAGATACCAGCCACAGTCCCTCACCCAYCCACAGCGACCTCATGGGAGCAGGCTCAGAGATCTTCCACCTTCTCACCACATCACAGAATCCCAAGATCCGCTGAATTGGAAGGGACTTCAAAGTTCATTCAGTTCCATCTCCTTGCCATGAGCAGGAGCCTTCCAGTAGCCCAGGCTGCTCATTATCACATCACGCTGCCCCAGCATAAACACCAGGTGACATTCTCCATGCAGAGCTCCCACCATGACAAAGCTCTCATTCTTCCCAGTTTAAAGAGAAAAGAGGACAAAAATTCCCAATTCCTTTTCTACCTCACCTGGAAGTGGCCAATTTTCTGTCCAAATGCTTCTCTGACATGCAGGTATGGAATTGCGTGGTCTAGAACAGCTTGCATGAGCCTAAGAAGAGCAAAGGGAAAAGAGAAACAGCAGAACTATTAGTTGATAATGATTTAACTTTGGAAGTGTAAACCAAGGCAAAAARGTTCTCACAGCTGAGTTCAAACAGGTTCAAACAGGTTCTCACCCTGTTGTCTTCCTACAGCTCCACTCAAATAAGGTTAAGACTAAAATCCAAACATCCCATATTTCCCCCTAGTGCTCATTTGGGATATTCTGGGAAGGTCTGGTCTGATCTTTTAATTCAGGGGACTGAGACATGAAGAGCTTTCTCACAACCACAGCCAGGGCAGTTTGTTCTCCCTCACATCTCCAGAGTCCCCCAACTCAAGGAGTACTAGCCAGAACCATAAAAAAAAAGCACAGGCAAGAACAAGGAGGRGGAAAAGTCCTCCTCCTGCTTTGTGGAAGTTGCTCTTTCCACAYGAGGATTAGCCCAGAGAGACCACTCAGTAGGACAAAAGGACTGTGGGGTGCCAGTAATTACTGGGGAGCTTAAGGATTGAATAAATGAAGAACAAACCAATTTGTGACTCCCTGGACAGTGTGTTAGATTCTAAGGAATTGATAACACAAATCACAAGCTGGTTATTCCCTGAGTAATACACAATGTAAGGACACAYAAACCAGCAAATGGGGACTGAGGCAGGTTTATCATCTCTGGAAATGTTTATATCAAGACTGATCATTTCCAAAGCCTGCCCTGGARGGTCTGTGGGCACTGGAAGGCAGACATGCAAACATTCTTTTTGGCATTGCTTCTCCTATCCCTTGCCCCTCACAGGGGGCTCCACAGAGATGCTTTCAAACTGGAACACCACTGCATGAGGAGCTGAGAGCTCAGGGATGAGGCAGAGCACACGTGAGTGAGCGGTGGCAGCTCAGAGGGCCCTGAGCACCTCCAGGAGAGTCCAGTCCAGTGGAGCAGCTGTGCTGGTGCTGGAACTCTGTGCTGGTTTTGGCTGGGACACCCAGCAGCCACATGATCTCCTTGCACCTTGCTTCCTTTACACGTCTGACCCAGCCTCTCCTCTTCTGCTGCCCCAAGAACCCAGTTCTCCATCCAGGACACATCCTATCAAGAGYTGCAGCTCCCAAGGGATCCCCACCAGGCTTGGCAATCATCAAGGACCCTTCTGGCATTACAACTTATAAAAGATGACAMAGCCTTACCCTAGGGGGCCCCCGGACAGCACGAGCCTCTCCAGGTCCAATCCACTCATCAGAACGTAGACTCCCTTGCTCAGTGTCCCCAAGACATTTTCAGCTRAAAACAGCAAAGGAAAAGTGATTTATGTGTAAAACTCAGACAAGCTGCTCTCTGAGGAACTGTATTCACTGCAGGGAGAAGCAACCTGGGATAGTGGAAGGTGTCCCTGCCTGTTGCAGGGAGTGGGACTGGATGAGCTCTAAGGCTCCTTCAAACCCAAACCATCCTGGGATTCTATGAAAAATGACTGAATAGCCTGAACAATTTCCTGAGAAAAYGGTTTCAGCTTCCAAAGCCAAAGATCAGGAGCATTAATGGCTGGAGTGCCAAGTGTGTTAACTTCCAACACTGCAGTGATGTGCTTCTCCACATTATTATCCCTTTTCCATGAGAACATTCTGTTCTCTGTGGATGATTTCCGGGACGTGATCAGAGGACTGCAGCACTGGCCTTTATGATTTCAGGGTGGAGAGATCCAATACAGCTAGAAATATCAGACTTCAGCTGAAAACTCTTCCACTTTAGCTTTTGAAGGTAAATGGGGAGCGGGAGCGCTCCTTGTCCTGCAAATGTTTGTATGATTCTGGATAAGAAATCTTCTCCATTTGCTTGAGAAAGGCTGGAATTTTTATATCAACAAAAATTGCCACTGGAATAACAAATATTGCTATWACAGATGCCTCTGCTGTACTAGCTAACAAGGGAAAGGATATGAATTTTCAAGCCCTGGCCCCAAAAGAACTCAGAAATATTACAAAAGCCTTTTKGATAGTTCCAGTGAAAAACCTTCAACACAAAGCAGCTCACCTCCATACAAGGTGGGAGCTCTAACGGAAACAAGTTTCTTGGGAAGCCTCAGCAAGGCTTTGGAGAAGCAGCAGTTAAGAACTAGGTCCCTGAGGATGAAAGAGCAGTGGCCTGACAAGGGATGTGCTCCCTCCCTGCAATCCAGTAGGAYTGCACTTTTCCAGTTCCACCAGTTCCCTCAGAGGCTGCCAGAGAGCAGATAAGCATCAGCAAAGCCCTGCAGGTCACGGGCTGAACATGTGTGCAATTAGTGATCCCATTTATCTGATCAAGAAAGGAAACCACCATGATTTCAACTCAACTCACCGGGGATTTTGCAGTCTTCAAAGATCAATTCACAGGTATTAGACCCTCTCATTCCCAGCTTATCCAGCTTCTGSGCTGTCCTGAAACCCGGCATTCCCTGAAAAGTCAAGGCAGTAAAAATACATTTCATGTCTCAGTTCTGCCAGACTAAAGAAAATCATGAGGGATTTGTGAAATTCCACTGACCACAGAAACATGTGTAGGGTGCCAGGAATGAGATAAAGTGACCTAGGAACAAGACCAGGTCTAAGTGCAAAAGAAAGCAAATGGACAGAAAAACACACACATATGCACATAAACAGCAAATAAATAAATTATTTGGATAGCTGCCAACACAGGCTCTCTGACAGCAAGGTTTGGAAGCTCTGCCAGTAAGTGACCTATTCTAATAATTAAGTTATGTCCATCAGAAGGTTTACTGATCTCGGATTTTATTTTATTAAAGGTTTCTTTTCCGCCTGAAAGGCAGAAAGCAGTTTGTCTTTGAAGAAGAGGCTGATASCTATGGAAGGAAAACCAGCTGACTTCCAAATGAGGCAGTTGTGGTGAAGGATTCTACTCCAAAGCCCTGTGGGGATGACTGAACCTACCCTCTCCACGATGAAGGCAGTTATGCCTCGGGAGGCGGGGACAGCGTTCACGTCAGTTTTGGCGTAGACGATGAGAACATCTGCGTCCGGCCCATTGGTGATCCAGAATTTGTTCCCATTCAAAACAAAGTGATCTCCTGGAAGCCAAGAGATGAAATCTGTTAGCTCTTGACAGCAACACTGGTATTCCCTCTCCACTTATTCCCTAACAGGCTTCCCAGAATCCCTTAGGTTGGAGCAGACCTCCAAGTTTGTCGAGTCCAACCTTTGGCCCCATCCCCACCTTGTGAATCAGMCCAGAGCACTGAGTGCCATGCCCAGCTGTTCCTTGAACATCTCCAGGGATGGGGATCCCAGCACCTCTCTGGGCAGCACAGGACAGGCTTTACCTTTCTTGTCTGCTTTCAGCTTCATGGACACAACATCAGAGCCAGCATTGGGCTCACTCATGGCTAAGGCTCCAATGTGCTCCCCGCTGATTAGCTGGAAGAAAGGACAAATACTAGCAGAAGATGAAGACCAGCAGCAGCGTTTGTGTTCCCTCTTCAGCCCCCCTGGCTATTTTCCTGCACTGAACCCCCAGAGTAGCTGTTCTCTGCAAGAACTCAAATGAGAGCTGCTGTTCCCTTGTGCTGTTCCCACAGCTCCCCCGTGCTGTGCCGAGGGAACAGAACCAAATCCCAGTGGGATGAGAAGGGTGACTCAGCTCTGTCTGAGCTAGACAAGCACAGCCCTGCTTGCACAACACACGAGGAGGGTGCCAAGGAACCATGCAGGCAGCCATATGCCTGTCCCCAGCTCCTGCCTGGGCTTTCTGCTGCCCTTTTATACAAACAAGAGCTGCTGAACACAAAAGGCCAACAAGGGAGTGAAAAAGGATGGGAAAGTTCTCTGCAATGTTCTCACAGTCTAGTCCCACCACACTCACCCTACAACAGCAGATGGACCCTCCTCCTGTGCCTGCTCACACCAGGCTCYGGCAGAGCTGTTGCTTCCTCTTCACTGTTATTTCATCCTGCCCTTTTCTTTTTGCCTTTTTTTCCCCCCTCCCTGTGTACTTTCATCCATCTTCTCCTCCTTTTGATCTCTATTTTTTTTTAAAAGCAGACTCAATGCTTAAGGTATGTTTAACCAATTCAATCCATCAGTGCATTGCTACAGAAGTCCTCATGAAGTGCTCAACTCTAGTTAAGCACCTTTAAGTGCTCTGTCAGGAACCAAAACAAGTCAGAGCTGAAGTGACTTCACATCTCATTGAAAGGCAGAGAATGAAGCATGAAAATACATCTGAGGAAGGAGGACAATTCRCATTTGCAGGCTGCACAGTGCTTTGAGGAAGTGACACTGTACTTTGCACGTAGTTTAAATCAAGTTTCTTGTGCTGATAATTTCACCGATAACCTCAGTAGCTGGGATTCAATGTGCTCATTGTTTTTCCATGCCTTTAGAAACTGAAATCTATTTAATGCACTTCTGAGTTATAACATCAATACCACAAGTGATGATGAAGTTTCACATGTAGTCAATTAATAGGCAAACCCAAGCATTTGGGCAGTGAGAAATGGGGAACATAAGAAAGCAGTGACTCTCATTCAGAGATCTCAAAATTATTTGGGAATTTGAAAGAATTTCCTCCAGTGTCACCTCAAAGTGTCTTTTAGTAACACAGCTCCAGAGAGCTGGGCTGTGCTGCCAGCAGACAAGGACCTGGGCATGGGATAAGGTTAATATGGATTAACAGAACAAAAATTGAYAAACTAGAGAAGTCCAAGTTTGGCAAGTTCAGTATTTCCTAAGGTTTGGTGTTTAAGATGTTACACACTGTGAAAGACATTCATCCTTGCAGCCAGAACCTAAATGTTTTCCAGTGCTGTCCCTCCTGCAGCCACGTACCTTGGGCAGGTACTTTTGCTTCTGGGCCTCGTTGCCGTTGCGCACGAGCTGGTTGATGCACAGGTTGGAGTGGGCACCGTAACTGAGCCCCACAGAYGCCGATGCACGGGAGATCTCCTCCATCACCAGCACGTGGTCCAGGTATCCCAGRGCAGATCCACCGTATTCCGCTGGCAGGAGAGGAAAAAGCTTGTGTTACCCACCAGGGGCACAAGATCCCAAGCCTGGGCTCAGTTTCCAGTRGCATCCAAGACACTTGGAATGTTTCTGGTTTTATCGTTGCTGTCCTGACCTGGGTGCTTCTGGCTTTCTCCATTCTGTCTGAATTTCAGTTTTCTCATCTTAAAGTGATAGGGATATTTTGCCTTCAGTCTTATCCATAATTTACTTGTAGAACATAGTTTATATGTAGACCCCACAGATGGACATATCTCAAACATGCTACTGACATTGCACAATAATGARTCCTTCTTATCAACTCTAGTATTATCACAGACCAAATCACCAAGTTGCAACCTCTTTARGGTGAGAACAAAGGAACACAGGCAAGGTTTGTAAAATCCATGTATGTTTGCCCCAAAACAAATGAGGAATCCTCAGACTGCTCAAAAAATGGGGCACTGAGGACTATTCTAAGCCCACAAATGTGCAGGATGTTAGAATTTAGATGAGTGGCYAATTCAGAAGGAGAATGATCCATAAATGTAATTCCTCAGGGACAAGAGAGGATGAAGAGAGACAGAGCAGCACTGGGAACCAGCTAGGCACATGGAGTTGAGACTAAAACTAATGATAAAGATTAAAGTCACACAGTAGAACAGGGTGATAGAAGGCAGGTAAAAAGAGAAGGCTGAAAAATGTGTAACAGCCTTGAGGAGCCAATAGCCTACATAAGTATACACACATGTTCCTACAAACACGTTTATATACACACAAATACTTCCCAACCTAAATACTTTGTTCTGGGGGTAGGAAGCAAGTGTTGTACTGCTAAGAGAAGCACTACAACAGGACATAAACATTGAGAAGCAGCCGGGGAGATAAGCTGGGAGCACTTACTCATCATCAACGTGGAAGCTGCAAGCAAGAGCGACAAGGGTAAGAGCAAATCTCTGTGTGTGCTCAGAGTCACCAAAGTGCAGAGCTCCAAGGGGCTGCTGTCCCAAATTCCTCAAATTCACACCACAGCCACGGGCATCACAGGCAGCCTTTCCTCCCATGTCCCTCATTTCGACTCCAGCCTTTATCTGCTGGGCCCTTTATCCTCTGAAATCTCCTCTCTCTACCACGAACCMAAGTATAGGGTTTGCTATCAATACCCTTAAAGATGGGCTGAACAATTTCTCATATATGCCAAACCAAGAGAGTTTTTTATCAACTCCTATAAAATGGCTGGGTTTGGTGCTTTTGCCACAAGAACAAAGAAATTGTGAGCAGCACAAATCCAGGTTTGCTTTGCACTGCATGAGGAACAGGAAAATGACCCTGCCAGACACCTCCTCACAACACAAACCATGATGTGATTTCAAATGACACTGCCCTTGTAAAGCTGCTCTTTGTATATGACATGCCTGCATTATCATCCCATGGAAACTACATATTTGCATTTCTTCACTTTGCACTTTATAAAACAAATGGAAAACTACAAATACCACAGTTCTCTCAGGTTTAGGAAGAAAACAAACAGCACTTTTTACTTAAAATGTTCCCTTAACAGACTTGATGCACCGGTATCCGAACCGGCCAATTAATTGTGTACACCCTCCTAAGATTCCACACRATGTTCACATCCTAGTCTCTACCTCCTCCAACAAAACCAATGTCAATAAAGAAACACACAACTCTACAATCCAAAACAAGGTGAAAAATCCTGGGTGTAGGAGGGTTTGAGAGGTAAACCTTTGAGGAAATCAAGGACAGGACTCGTGAGGGGATGGCTTATTTATAGTGTGGGAAACTGCTGTAAGCCTCAGGCACAACATCAAACAAGAAAGAAGGTAAGAGTGAGGAGAAACAGRAGCAGCAGTAAATGGGGAAGAGGAGACAGAAAGAAACAGAAATGCAGGGTCTTTCAGCACTGAAAGCAAGGCAAAGGCATTATTCTGACGCATTGCTATTCAGCCGGATTCTGCAGAGCCTTTGCAYAGCCACATCTAGAAAACAGACTTTTCCATGGGGAAAGAAAGGCCCCAGCAGCCTCTTTTCTCCACTAAGGGCTTCTCCTCATTACCCTGCCTCAGTACATTCAGCACAGCCACACTCATCTGTAACACTCATCACAACACTTTTCATTAAGCTGCACAAGGCTGAATATAATTTCCCCTGATTTTTTCCTGACTGGTTGGCTGTGGTCATCTCTCCATTAGTCATCAGGCTTTGGTCACCTCTCCATTAGTTATCACAGCTTTCCAGGGCATTATTTTAGACCCTTTAACTCCTCCCATTACAGATGGATACTTGTTCTGGGATACTTTTATCTCTAGCTCTCCTCCTTCAAAACTTGCTTCATATTAGAAAGGCACAAATAAGTTTGAGACACATATGTTACATCTGGAGCAACCATTTCTGARCTGTGCTTTTAAATTGTGAAAGGCATTTTGTCTAACAAGGAAAAAGGATTCAAAGTCAGAGAAGAATAATAACAGTTGGGAAAGAGTTTTTTGAAACACAAAGATAGGACAAAATGGATGTCACATCACAGACAAGGCTGCTGTGAACTGGAAAGTGCAAGTTTAAGTGTTTGAGGAGTCATGCATCAGAAGGTAAAAGATGGAAACAGACTTACCAGGGGCTGTGATTCCCAGAACTCCCAGTTCTCCCAGTTTCTTCCAAAAGTCCTAGGAATACAGAAAAAGCAATCAGCCCAAACTGGCAGTCTGGGCACCAGCATAACAAGTTTCCCCAGGCAGCTCACTGGACACAATAATTTACCTGTGAGATATCACGGGAATGAGGCAAATACATCAATACCTATTCCTCCCGCAGTGCAGCTCCATCCTTGGAACTGAGAAACCACACAGACTAATTATGCTACACACAGAAGGAGTTTGTGGAATTCAGTGACAATTCACATGCCTAAATTTAATTCTGGAAGGGCAACTCCTAAGATTTAATTCTTTGCCCACTCTAAGGAAATTTTTTTATGAAATAGTAAACTATCCATTACTAAAACCCTGGAAATATGAAGAATTGCTATGAGCTGGCACTTTCAAACTCTTCCAGTGAAACAGGAGCTGGCAACTAAAGCCAAGGAAAACTCCTTAGGAGAGATTAAAAAAAATGTTACAGCCATGACAAAATGCAGCAGCAAAGGACGTTGTCACAAAGGAGGCCCACACAGATCCTGTTGGAGCCATCTTGCTGCTGCTCCTTTCCTATGCTACGTGATGGACACATAGGTGAGTGCCCTCACATGGCCTCAGTGTCCAGGAATAATTATCAGGGAATATCTCCAGAGACTTCAAAAAGTATCATACAATAGCTGTGGATGACATCTGAAATGCCAGGCTAAGTTTATACACCTCACTTCAAAGCCGCACATACATCCCTGGAAATGTCGGCACCAGAACTCTGGGAAATCCTGGCATATGTTTAGAGCTTTTTGAGTCTTGTGGAGCTTATAAAAGCCAATAGTCAGATGTCTCATTTCCATCAATCAAAACACCCCGTAGCACAGAATTTGTTGGGTTTATCAGAAAGGAAAAATTGCAGCTCGACAGTCAAACTCCATATTTCAGCATTTGCATACAGTATTTTTATGGTAAATCTGAGACGAAACTCATGCCCAAGAAAGGGACTGAGCCAGGAGTACACAAAGCACATGTTTGGGGAAGGAGCCTGAACAGGGCCAGGCAGAAATCCCATGATAAGAATCCAAATGAGACCATTATCAATCTTATTAATGTTATCACTGGGTTCTGCCCCAGGTTGCTGAAAGTTGGTAACAAAAGATACAACAGGAAATGAAATAAAGGTTTTCTCTGTGGCTTTGAAGTTTGAAAAGTCATGTTCCTGTTGTGTGGCCTGGGATTGTCTGGACTAATGCAGAGATCAAAGCCCAGAGAGGCTTTCAGAGCTACACATGAAATACTTGCCCGCATGCCTTTGAATTCATTTTCCTGATCAATCTGTTGGGCCTTTGGAGCCAAATGCTCTTGGCAGAACTTTGTCATGGTCTGTCTAAGCTGGGAAAAGAGGGGAGGAAAAACACATCCGTTACATCTCAGCAATCTATTGTCGTCTTCTTCCCCTGGATCCTGCCAACATTCCCTCAGCAGGCAACTCCAGCATCCCAAWCCCAGAAGCACAAGACCATAATGAAATCCATGTTCAGGTTACTGGCTGAAATAAAACATAAAAGAGTCATTTTTTCAGTCTTTTAAATAGGAACTGATGTACTTTAGTCCCTCTCAGCATTCAACATTAATCTCACCCTGACATGAGAGAATGTTCCTGAACTCATGCCTGCACTGAGGTTCCAGGCAGGTTTTTGGGCAGGGAACTTTGGAAGCTGATGAACTGAGTTTATAATGTTAACCCCATCCAGTAGCTACTTACAGCACCATTTAATTCCCTGCAGATGTCTGTAATAGGCAAGGATACTGATTAAAATGTGTTTGTGTGCCAAACTGGAACTATATTATCTACCTGATTACCTTCTACAGTGGGAAAATTCRACAGAGCCAGGAATGTTCATTGATCCAGGTGTTAAAAAAYTCYCAATATTTTTCTATATTTTAAASTCTGAACACTTACATACATGTATTCTACAGAAGTCTATACACATACTAGCAAAATATATACAGTGTCTTAAATAGTCTAACAAGAAGATTTAAAAACGTGGTCTCCATCTTATGTGAAAGTTTAATCCCAATTTTTTTCTTTTTGGTTCTTTATTCGCACACATTAATCCTGGGGAAGGAACAGTTTTAGAGACTGAAACCTTGTGCTGTTAAACCAGAACCTGTATAAGTGGCAGGAACAACGGATCAAAATATGCCCACACTCACCTGCCTTTTTCTGAGCCCCAAAACCCAAGCAACCTCTTTTTTACAATTGAGAAGATACGTTAAATTTCCAGTCACACAGACCCCGGATTCCAGTTCTAACCAACAAGCTTTCTCCCCTCTGCTAGATTTATAAACTTAAATGARCCCCAAAAGACATTAGATATCTTTCCATTGTGACAGAGCTGACTGCGCTACACTTCAGAAAAGCATTTAAAATAAATTAAAACAGGCTTAAAACCATAATAACAGAAAATYTTAAATCAATTAGAGATTGAAGATGGATTCAGACAGGCAACCCTGATACCTAAGCCAGTTTACAACACATATACTGCTTTTAATTCACAGCTTCACTAATATTGCTGAAGATTATTTCCAGTGTTTTTTAACTTTTCCACCAGACAGACAGGGGCAACAGGAATATTTTACCCCTTCTTTTACACTTACTGAATACAGAAATACAAAGAAACATCAATTCAAGCTGATACGGCCATAAACATGACACAAACGTGGCAGGGAATAATTTTGCAGCAAGAAAGAAGAATAAGTAAATTTATTTTGTACATCCATGTACTTGCACAATCAAAATTATCTGGGAAGTGTGGCTGTAGCTCCAGGTTTCACTGGCAGGAGCCTGTGTGGAGCAGCCTTGGGAAGGAAACACCCTTCACTCCAAGCCCTGGGGCAGCAGGGAATACATTGGGAATGGTCAGCACTTGGCTGCTGTTGCACACAGAAGAACACATTAAAGAGAAGGATCATAGAATCACAGAACATTTGAAGTTGGAAGAACTCACAGCTTTCATGAGTCTGTTGGAAGTGATGTAACCTTCCCAAGTAATTTTTAATTAGYTGTTTTCATTAGYTGTAAGCAGTGCCCACTTTTASCYAGCACTATTTAAGTTTCTTTGTCAGACTCTTAACTCTTTTACCAACACTTTCACTGTTAAATCACCGAAAACTTAAGTTTGCTAAAACTAACCCTGACAAGCTCCAAAAAACAAAGCCTGAAGGAGCTGAAGATTGGATACCTGAGATCTTAAATTTATGGCCATTCAAAGACATGTTGGAGTAACTAGAAGACACAGAGATTAAAGCCTGGAAAGTTGGAAACTCCCCATTTGAGAAAAAATTATAAAAGGCCTAAAGAAAGTGGGCCAGATTAGCWTGGAGGATAGAATACAAATGAACAAAGAGAATTATGCAACTTACAATGAACATTCATTTCTTTGTTTACTAAAAATGTGTAAGTGAAAAARTTTTGCATCTTTGGTTGGTGTGGARGTCAGAACTTTATCAGCCACACAAACACTTCTTGGTTAAGAGTAAGGAAGTGCCTTACTAACACTAAAGACAGTGCTAGAGTCTTATTTTTCCCAGCATTTTTGGTAACAGGTGCAACTCCTGGCCCCGCACAGGGCACCCCAACAATCCCAGCCTGTGCCTGACAGCTTGCCCAAATGTTCCTTGAGCTCTGGCAGYCTTGGGGCTGTGATCACTGGSCTRGRGRGCYGTTCCAGTGCCCGACCACCCTCTGKAGGAAGAGCCTTTTCCCARTATCCAGYCTAAACCTCCCCTGACCCAGCTCCTGCCCTTCCCTGGGTCCTGTCACCGGTCACCAAAACAGATCAGTGTTGCCCTGTGCTGCCCCTTGTGAGAAAGCTGTAACCTGCGATGAGTTCTAAGAATTATCCTAWTTTTTTAAGTGCCCCATTAGGCAGGAGAACAAGCCGGGAGAGCTGCAACAMTTTGTTTTTGGGAGGATGACGCGACCCCATCGAAGCGTTCGATGATCACATTTCTGACGATTACTGCCGATCCAACAGGCCCGACGTGGAGGCGGAGGCCGCTCGCTTGGGCAGTGCGGTGCAGCAGCGGCCCGGGTGTCCGGGGACGCCGCGCCCCCGCCGCCAGCGCGGGGATTGGGCGGCTCGGCCCGGCCGCGGCCAATCGGGGCCCGCCCGCCCCGCCACACCCCCGC